GGGCCTTCAGACAGATGGCCAAATTTTCCTGCTATTGAAGGCTGGAGGAACATGGGAGTCTTCCCAGACGTTGCAGTGCAGCAGTCCCAGGCTCACTGGGTTCCCAGGCTGTGTGCCTGAGCCTCTGCTGCTCTGTGGGATGGCAGAGGATGTGCACACAGCAGCTGACAGATGCTGGGGTACCACACTGGGTGCTGGGGGAACACACTGGGTGCTGGGGGAACACACTGGGTGCTGGGGGAACACACTGGGTGCTAGGGACATCAGCCTGCCCAGCTGCTCTTGCAGAGGTTTAGAAAAGCAACCAGAGCCTGTCTCATGCAATCCTTCAGCACACAACATTTCTGTTCTGACACATTCCTGTGGCTGTGGGTGGAAGATCCAAACAAAATGATGGGGCTGTTTCTTAGCAGCCGTATCATCTGAGCTGCTTCTGAACTGCTGGGGCTTCTCTTTCTCAACAGAAGATTGAGAAATTGCCTTGCATGTCTGGGTAGAAATATTTTTGTTTCTGTGTTAAACAACAATGGGAGTTTTGTCTTGTGACCACAGCAGGCCAAAAAAACCCACCACTGTGAGTTAGAGAATCATCCTGATGAACAACTGTTTCAAACAAAGCTGCAGATGCTAATCATCAACTTGAAGCTTCTGCAGATAATGAGATGCTCTGTACAGACAGGAAGATGAACAAAACCAGAAATTCACTAGCAATACACTTCACTCATGTCCTTTATACAAGAAAAAGCAGCTCCTAGTTCTTTCTACTAAAAAGATTCAGTGTTCCAAAGCAATTAATTTTATACTAACAAATGCACATTCATCTCAGCTCCCCCTGAACTGGGCTATGTGTATGAACTTGCACAGCCCAAGGGATGAAACCTTTTGAGGATAGTTATATTTTTGAGAGAATTAGGTAGCTATTCTTTACATTCCTCAGCAAGTAAGCAGCTCCTAGTTCTTTCTACTAAAAAGATTCAGTGTTCCAAAGCAATTAATTTTATACTAACAAATGCACATTCATCTCAGCTCCCCCTGAACTGGGCTATGTGTATGAACTTGCACAGCCCAAGGGATGAAACCTTTTGAGGATAGTTATATTTTTGAGAGAATTAGGTAGCTATTCTTTACATTCCTCAGCAAGTCCTTCCTCCTTCCCTCTTCCCTCTTTCTTAGGGTAACAAATTTGGCATCTTGTAGCCTCCTTCCCTCCACTGAGCCTTCAGAGCTGCTTTCACTTTGTGATTGTCAGCTGTCAGTATAATCTGCCCACCTGGTAGAACCATCCTAAGGATCAGAACTCTACTCATAGAGACACACATAAACCACCCAGTCCAAGCTTGAAGTTATCCCCAACACAAACATACATCCCTCTGTATTTACTTCATTCTTTCTCCAGTGCCAACAAGATTAAAAAGAGGTTCAAAGTCATTGGCTTTAATGCAGAAAAAGCATCATGCTTTGATAGTATGAAAAGATGCCCCTGCATGAACAAGGCATTAATTCTTCAGTTGGATGTTTTAGATCAGCAAGGAAGAGGGAAAAGGTTCCTATCCACTGCACAAAAATTTCATTTCGATGTGTAGGTGAACTGGCTTGGATAGAAGAATGATATAGAAGCAGCAAGGCAAAAATCAAATGAGAAAAATCACAGGAGAAAGACAGATGCAGAGGAAATGGGAAGCTCTGAAACATTTCAGAGGCTATCTCAGTAGTGGGTAAATGTGAGAGAGATGAGATCATGGCTTTTTGTAAGGGCAATCAGATCTACTTTTAAACAAATTACTTGGTCTTAGCCAAGTATCGAGTACAATCCAAAAGGTTTTCTCCTTTTATAAACGTAACATTCATATAAAGATATTTTTGTTGAACTCATTAGGATGATTTTTCTTACAGTTAGGAAATTCATTAGATTCATAATCACTCACTGAAATTACTCCATACTGTGCTGAATGTTCCATTGCACATGCTGAATAATAATCAATACTATTAGGGGCTTTGCTGTTTTGTGGGCTTAGTCTAAGAGAATAATACATTCAGCAGAGGCTCTACATGTGAAATAAGTATTTTTGCCTTCATTTGTGTTTGCCTATTTACTTAAACAACCTCATTCAGGCTCCACTGAGGCTTTCCCAGGAGTCTCATCTGAAGATGAAACTTTCCCCCCAACCATTCTTGTTTTAAGTCTAGATAACTTCAAAGAGATTTTTAGTGATACAGCAAAGTGCTGTTGGTCTGAACTCTGGGTTCATCCCTTCTAGTTCACCAAAACAGAGTTATGTAAGTTCATAGCTAAAAAGATTATCCATCGAACTAGTGAAGTTAGACGTAGATTACAAAATCAGGTCATGCTAGTTCCAGGCAATTACTCTTTACATTTAATTTCTTGGTGTTTTGTTCCACTTCACCTGCAATGTACTTTGTACATCAGTAGAAGAAATTTCATTCTTAGAGGTTTTTTGTTGCTTCTTTTTCTTTTTTCTTTCCTGCGTTTGTTTGGTTTTTTTAGGGGTTTATTTCCTCCTGAAAATGATCCTCTAGGCTTGTGACACAATGAAGTGAGACAAAGCAGCAAACATTTCTGGGACTAAAAGAAGCACCTACAATAATTCCTACACATCATATATGTCCAACAGCTGTTCTCTTTAATAGTACACACATCATTTTCTAAACACATTTAGGGATCCTTGGGATCCTTTATGAGAGGAAATTATCATTTTAGCATTCATGGGTTGTTCATAGTAACTGCTAAAGGTACTGAAAAAATGCCATAAATGCATTCACAATTCCCATGGCCTGTGCACTCAAAACTTTTGCTTATCTTCTGAAGCAATACCTGAGCAAGAAGAACAAGGGAACAGACATTTCATGACAAGGTTTCATTCACCTAAGTGTCAGCTCTAGCTAGTGCTGTTCTATAAATTATTCATATGGAAGTCTTAATACCTAGTTGCACAGACAATTCATTTGTATCATTTTCAGCTGCTAAAAATGGGTTAAGGATATCAGCATTTGTATTCTGTGTCAGTCCACAGGTCACTGCCAATACAGGATCAGATTTTTCACACATTCCTCCCATCTCCTTTGTTTTCTTCAGAGACAAAGTGGCACATACAAATGCATCACCTTTGGTATTTTGAGGAGCCTTTTCTTAAATAGCTTCAACTACTTTCCCTTCTATTTAATTTATTTTCTTTCCCTGTGATTTAATTTTTTTTTTTGTTGGATGAAAGGTATCAAAAATGATGAAAGATTAAGCATGAAGGAAATGCAAATTGAAAAGAATGAAAACCCTGAGTGATGCTCTGGCAACATCTAGAGGGGTTAGCCCACACTGAGAAAAACAACTCAGAACCTCCTCCAGGCTACAGAAGCTTTTTCTTCTTTAGTATGGGACAAATAATTCAACTTCTCTGCCTGAATTTCCCCATCTAAAAATGGATCAGAATTATAGCACCTAATACTTCTTCATAGTATTACACGAATAGAAAAGAATATTCTACTCACGAACAGAAAAATAAAGCAAATATTTCAGTCCATTAATTGCAAGTGTTTAACACAAGAATATATTATTGATTCAACTGCAACCATTGCAGGTTATCTATTCATCTCCTCTCTGAAATAAGCAATGGTCTTTCCACCAGCCTCTCTAAATCCAGCAGGTTGAGAGTGATGGCACTGGAATATCTCTATGTACACCAGATAAAATGCATCAGTTATGATGATTACACATCCTCCAGCTGCTTAGGATCATAATAGGAGTAAGATCCATGTGCTGGAAGACTAACACACTCCTCCTCTCCTGTGTTGATAGTGATGGGGTTGGTTTATTGAACACAAGGCTAAGTGTCCTTCACTCTCTGCCATTCCTCTTACACTGGGATTTACTATGCTTAGGCTCGAGAACCTGCTACTGTTGAGCTTAAGTCCATATTTATTTTCCAATAAAGTTCTTTCACCAACAGAGAAATGCAAAGTCAACACATGTATCTACAGAAACAAACCAAAAAGGATTATGTAACACACACCACATCGCAATCTGATGGAGGATTTCAGTCATTAGCAACACAGAAACTTTTTCATCACCATATTTCTATTTGTTTGCACATGGGAAATGTTTGAAGTTTCACCATGGCAAAGAATTATTTCCACAATCAAAAAGGAGTTTGAGCCCTGTGTGGAGTCCAAGTCATCACTACTGTCAACAAATACATCAAAGATCTGCAGTCAGTTTTGTTCTGCAGGGCAGAAGTGCCAAGAGGATGTACAATCACTTCCTATTTTACATTAGAATGAAAAATAGTTGTCTGAAATCCAATGAAACCAGTCACCCTACTTCAATTTCACAGGCATTCTTTTACCAGAAGTTTTAGGGTTTTTCCTGTGAGGGTGGTGAGACACTGGCCCAGGTTGCCCAGGGAGGCTGTGGCTGCCCCAACCCTGGTGGTGTTCAATCCAGGCTGGATGAGCCTTGAGCAACCTGATCTAGTGAGGAGGTGTCTCTGCCCAGGGCAGGGGTTGGGGCTGGATGATCCATTCCAGCCCCTATGGGTTGGATTCTATGATGTGGTTCTATGAAATAAATCCATCCTAGATTAGGAACCACTCACACCAGTTTAGAACAGATCTAAACATTTCTTCATAGCCAAAGAGTCATGCTGAAAGATAACTCATCTACCAAGTTAAAACTCTTCAGGAGCTGCTCAAAGGCAAAAATAAAGAAAATAAATAAATGCTCTCTAACACCAAGCCCAGCTCTACCTTGTGATGTCTATGAAAACACTTCCTGAAAATAGATGCAGACAGCCTTGGCAGTTGAGGTGAGGTAGAACAGAGTGGAAGAGAATTCCTGTCTCAGCATCAAGAAATAATTTTACTTATTTGTTTTGCCTTTTATTTTTCAAACTGCAAGAGATCAGTCGTAAAAGGCTCAGAGCTACTAAAACTGAATTAACTGTGCGTACAGAGCCAAAGAAAAGAAAGGAAAAAAGGTTGGTCCCTACCATCTCCCACGAACTGGAGGAGGGCAAGATCAATTTGTCTCTTCCAAGGTGATCCTTTCTGAAGTGCTATTCCATAGCCTGTAGTGGCAAAGATGTATCCACTCCCTATTGTGACGAGTTTGCAGCCTTCATCTCTTCCAGCCTTGTAATTCAGCACTGCTGCATCGTAGATGAAAGCATCCAACTTCCTGAAATAAGAGAAAACATTTTACAAACCAAATCATTAGGGACAGCTGTTGTCAGACTTCTTTTGTCCTTGATGTTAAGACCCTGTTGAATATCCTATGGATTCTTTGATATCATTAATTACATATCCTGCTCTGCTGTATCTAAAATTAACAAAAGGCATCTATTTTAGTGAGGGGAAAGTAGGACACATAGTTTTGCATTTCTATTTTAAGGGATGCTGTTAAAAAATACTGAGCAGGAGAAACCAAGCTACAGAATGTCTTGCCCTGTTATCTTTGTATCTTTGCTCTCAAAATGGATAACAAATATCTTGAGATGCAAAATGGTCTCCAAAACCAACACAAATGACATTAGAGAACTGAGAATTGAAACAATAACCAGTTTCTTTAAGATACTGAATGAGATTGAAAAATGTGAGTCCACCAGTTTTACACACACACCTTTATTTTATGTCACTTTGCAAAAATAAAAAGTGAAGGTGGAGGTTAAGGCCTTGATAAGTCAAAGGAATGCACTGGAGTGTATCTGATATAGCTATCTAAATCCTGCTTTAAAAATGATATAGATAATTTCTTTACGATTCACAGTTCTAAACATATTATTTGTGTATCTGGAGCAGAAATTGTGAAAAATTCAAGCCTTTCAGCCAATCCACCTAAAAATGTAAGAATGGAATAATCCCATTCTCTAAAGAATACAGGGCACACGACAAAAGAGAGGCAAACAGATTCAGTGAGGAGAGGAAATGAGGCAGTGTCCTTCAGGGACACCTCCTGAGGAGCACTGGATGGGTCACAAATGAAGGCAGTGACAGGGCACAGCCAGGGGAGGAACCTTTTGGAAGAACAATCATCTGCCAGCAGCAGACCTCAGCCAAAGAATACCCTTATACTGACAGAAATGCATTTGTAATCTTTAAAAAAAAAAAAAAAAAAAGGATAAAACTTCATTTTATTTTGCAGCACTGCTCTCATCTGCAGCCAAAACCTTTACAATTTCCACCACTTGCACAAGACCAGCAGACTACAAAGGCAACAGGAAAAAACTCTTGTCTCAGCCCAAACCTCACTGAAATGACACACGAAACCAAAGTCACTACATCACTCAGTAACACATCTCAGTCCATCCCATGGGTTGGAGGAGCAGGGACAGCACAGGGACAATCAACCTCAGAGGATGGTGCAGGTGGAATCTTCACCCTGCCACCCCCACTGGCTCTGCAGCTCCAGGCACTGCCTGCTGTGCCTCTGCAGAGCCACTGTGCATTCCTGGGAGCTCTGCTGAATGGTTCTGCTGGCAAAACATTGCTCATGAACAGTTGGGGCCTGTCTTCATGGGAAGGGAATTAGAAAAATAAATATATTGTGGCACGAACAGGTACAAGAGCATCAACTTCAATTACATTATACCAGTATGTACCAGTTGTGAATTCTGTTGCTGTGAAGTTTTGGAATCACACTTGCTACTACTTAAATCAGCTGGTGTTGATAAAGCTTTTCGTTTATAAACACACAACTGAGCAAGACTTAGGCTCATCCCATTTTGACTACAGACATCATAATTCAATATCTGCTCATAAATAATCAACAGATTCATATAAAACACTCATTTTTGCAGAACTTTAAATCAGATAGAAAAATGTGACACTACAAAATAGCCCTCTCTATCTCCTGGTAAACCAGGAGGGTGAGGTTACTGCACTTTGTTGTCACAAAAAAGGGAAGAGTTAAGTTCCTCTCACTACTTACTGTACTTTATTGCTTCCCTTCCAGGATACTTATCCCAACATTCACCATTCAGGTCATCACATTGAAATTTAGTGAATGAAGTAGTTTAGAGAAGTATAAGTGACTCATGCAACCATCAAAAGCAATAGTTGGACCATCACTACTTTTGCTTTTCCACTTTTCCCTAAAACTTAGTTGGTGCAATCCTCAGTGTAAAAGTCAGATTAGCTCCACTAATGCCAAAAGTTTGTCTCCCTCCTTCCTTTAAATGGGTGATATAACATGCAGAAAACAACCACTAAACATCTGGTAGGTGATGCCACAAATTCAATCTGGAAAAACCCATGGATGTCTTCTTGGCACTGGAGCTAACTAAGCTGGAAATAGCCAAGAAGGTGTGGGGCCCTGGCCAAGCCTGCAGTCCTCAACACAAGACCAGACAGTTTTCTAAATGACATGCTTGGATTCAGCACTTCAGAGAATTTTGCTCACCTAGAGAGCAAAACCAAAACTTTATGCCCTTTGGGTAGGCTCACAAGAGAATAAAACCCACAAACTGCTTGCGATGCCCTCAAAATACTTATCACAGCTATAGCAGACAATTATCAAAACAAATACAATCCAACCTCTTGCTTTGAGGTTGTTATCTGTGGGGAAGGGAGGATGCTTCCCCTCTCAGTGGATGCTTTCAGCTCTGGCAAGGGATGGGGAGGGAATGTTCCTCTCTGTGGGGACAGACACTGCTGTAACCAGCAGAGCTGAGTGAAAACACACTCTAGAATTTGTCACCTGTTTATTCTAGGATTTAAAGTCTTGCAACGTAAGCACCTAAAACACATGCTGGTAAACACAAAGAAAATAGAAAAAGTCAGCTATTCTTCTGTCAAAACAGTCTCAGTCAGAACCACAAAGGAAAAAAGAGCTCTTTGCTCCAGACTCCAGGGCAAAAGCCTCGTGCTGTCTCAGAAATCACACTCTACACAGGCAGCTTTGCCTCCTGAGTAACTGAGGAGTGTGGTAAAACCTTGGGACAGAAGACAAGGCACAGTCACAGGTTCACTCACTGGCTGTGGAACCACCTCCCCAGTTTCCCTGCAGTCTGGTGTCAGTGCAGTGGCTACATCTGAGCAAAGAGGATACAGAAAGCTTTACTTTTGAGGGATTTTTCTCTGCTGTTTCCATAAGGTCACAATAAATCTCATTATGCAAATCAATTTACAAACATGAGGCACTTTCCTGACAGCTGGGAGTGCTGAAGGTTCTGCTCTCAGTCACTGCCCAATGTCTAAGCTGTAAATCAAGAAGTTGATTGCTTGAAAAAGTCTTGGGGTCTACAAATACAAATTCCTATCCAGAATATATTTTCCCCACTTCCAACATAAATCTTATAACCTCTCCAGGCTTTATTATCTCTTCATCATGTGCTGATTACAGAAGTAGTGTTCCTGCAAAGCTTCAGAACATGCTGTACCCCTGCAGCGTGGGCAGGGACTCCCAAGCCCCAACTGAAGCTCTCAGATGTTAGGGCACCCAACTCTTTCATCACTAGGAGGTGAATTCCTGATACTATGAATTTTGAAGAACATTCAGATAATTTTTGATAGTCCTCAATAAATATTTCCAAAAATGGAGGTAAGTAGTGTTCCTGCAAAGCTTCAGAACATGCTGTACCCCTGCAGCGTGGGCAGGGACTCCCAAGCCCCAACTGAAGCTCTCAGATGTTAGGGCACCCAACTCTTTCATCACTAGGAGGTGAATTCCTGATACTATGAATTTTGAAGAACATTCAGATAATTTTTGATAGTCCTCAATAAATATTTCCAAAAATGGAGGTAGCCTGGGCAAATTGAATTTTGAAGAACATTCAGATAATTTTTGATAGTCCTCAATAAATATTTCCAAAAATGGAGGTAGCAAAACCTGGGCAAATCCAAAAAAATGTGAGCCTTTCTGAGTTCTTTGCAAAGCTGGCACTGAGCATCAGCTCCAGGGGGAGACAAGGCAGAGATGAGGCTGCTGGGAACACAGAGGACTTTCCTTGCTGCTCTGGCTGTGTGGGGAATGTTGGGCACCCAACTCTTTCATCACTAGGAGGTGAATTCCTGATACTATGAATTTTGAAGAACATTCAGATAATTTTTGATAGTCCTCAATAAATATTTCCAAAAATGGAGGTAGCAAAACCTGGGCAAATCCAAAAAAATGTGAGCCTTTCTGAGTTCTTTGCAAAGCTGGCACTGAGCATCAGCTCCAGGGGGAGACAAGGCAGAGATGAGGCTGCTGGGAACACAGAGGACTTTCCTTGCTGCTCTGGCTGTGTGGGGAAAGCCACAGCTGCTGTTTTGCTTGGCTCTGATGGAAGAGCCAGGCTGCAGACACACCAGGGACTTCTGGACATAGAAGCCCATCCTTGTCTCCAGGCAGGACTAGCAATCCTGGACTTCCAGTTCTCACTGTTCTTCTTTCTCTTTGGACAGAGGGACTGGGCAAGTCCCAGGATCTTTGTCCTTGTGGCAGCAAAACTGAACTGTGCTAAAGAGCTGAGAAGCTTAGCACTGGTCTGAGTGCTAACCACTGCTCCATGTTCACTGCAGAACAACTTCCACACACTGAGCACAGCACTGTGCACCGAGAGAGGCTCAGAGCCTCCTGCAAACCTCAGTCATGTACCCACAAATCAATTAACTTGTCGTTCCAGTGCAGCCACTTCAGCGAGCAAAGAGCTCTGTCACATTCTGTAGCTTTAACTAAACGGGTAAGAATTATTAGAAAGCTGAGAGAGAGCTACCAAAACTGGAAGGCAGCAAGAGATAAGGTTTATACCCATCATGGACCAGTGAAACGTGCCAAGCACCTTCAGGGAATGCAGAGGAACAGGATGACAGTGCTGGGACTCATCTGAGCAATGAGCAGGTTTGCAAACTTCCTCAGAACCACTGCAATAATCCTGGCCAGGAGGAAAAAGTAACAGTTTGGAATATTTATATAAGAGAGACTCCAAAGGCAAATGTCCTTCGTTACCTAGCAAGCACCAAGAGGAGAATTTTGGCTCACCCAGCATAGGAAACATCAGGTGTTATGAAATTATTAATTGGAATAGTTCTAGAAAAAAAAACCCAAAAGGGCATTACTGAATGTGATAGTTTGAAGTGGGAGATCTGTGAGAAACCAGTGTGGACAGTCTTGTAGCTAAACATTTATGAGTCACAAAGAAGGATAAGAGGGGAAAATTCAGAAGAGCTATTGCAAAAACCCATTCTCCTAAGTGCTGC